TTTTTTTTAAGCCCCCTTTTTTCTACCCCCTTGGGCACTGGGGTATGGCCCTCCTACATCTCCATGAGAGAGGGGTCCCCAAAACTACAGCCCCTCCCTTCTCTCCACCACACCACACCACACTACTGATTTGGAGTGTGTCCCCCCCCGGGCCCTCCTTGCCTCTTTTTGTTGATTTTGGGTTTTTTTTTGCTGGTTCCTTCCCCCCGGAACTCCCCCCTGCCCTCATGATTTTTGTTTTTTAACGAAGTGATATTTATATGGTCGGATTTTGTACCGCGCGGGACGGGGGGGCCCCGGGGGGACATGGGCCCCCCCCCCCCAAATTACACATGTCCTTTTGGAGCCCCTGTGTGCTGTGTGGTTCTTTGGGGGATTGGGGGGGGGGGTACCCGGCGGGGGACACCTCCCACATTCCCATGGATCCTGCTCCCCAAAAAAAGGACCCTCCCAGGCAGGAGCTGCTGCTGCCTCGGGGCTTTATTGACTGCACAGGGGGGCAAGGGGCCGCGGCTGTGTCGGCCAATGAGACATGCAGGATGTCGTGAGGGGCACGTCCTCAGCATGGCTTGGCCCGGGTTGACTCGCATTGGCCCGGGTTGGCCCCTGATGGTGGATCTTGGCCACTGCGGACTCGCGTTGACTTGTCTTGGCCAATGTTGGCTCGTGTCAGCTCATCTTGGCTCACATCAGCATCTCTTGGCTAAACTGGGGCACGGTGGGTTGACCCACGTTGACTCACGTTGGCCCTCATCATCGCCTCACGGCACCTCCCGTTGCCCGGTGTCACCCCCCGTCCCTGGCGCCGCCGCCCCGCCCCGTGCTGCCGCTCACTTGCAGGTGCAGTAGTAGCCCCGGATGGCGTCGTTCCAGTCCCCGAAGAAGCCCCGGCGCACCTCCTGCAGCCGTGGCACCGCTCCGGCGCTGAAGGACCGCGACTTGCCTGCCTTGGCCCGGCGCGACCACACGGTGAGCTCGCACTTGGTGCCCACCACGAGGGAGGAGGCGCGGCCGGACCACCCGCGGGGCATGTAGGGCACGTCGCTGCCCGGCAGCACCTCCAGCACGTCGCCAGCGCAGCACTGGTCGTAGTAGGGGCTGTTGTCGGCGTAGAGCAGGGCACACAACCGCGTGCCGTTGGTGGGGTGCAGGTCGGCTGGCGCGGGGCACTGGGCCTCCACGCCCCGGCTCAGCATCGCCACCGCAGCCACCAGCGTCACCAGCAGCGCTGACGCCATCGCTGTCACCTCCCAGGTCCTGCTGAGGCCTCGAGGTTCGGTTATAGCCCGGCCCAAGGCCGCTGGGCGGGGCCCACCTGGGAGAGGACCCAGGTGTGCGGCGGCTCCCCGGGAAGGGACACAGGTGTGGGGGGCCCGAGGTCTGCAGACACGCCCCGGCCATGGGAAGGGACACAGGTGTGCGGGGACCTCCCCCTGACTGAATTATCCGGAAGAGAGAGGCCAGGACCCCCCAAATCTGCTGCCCCCAAGGCGGGGACACAGCAGTTGGGGATCCCCCAGAATTTGCAGCCCCTACAGGATGGACCCAGGTATTGGGGACTGCTCATAGGAGGGGCCTCAGGCGTTGGGGACCGCCCACCCCAAAGAGGGCTCCAGGTGTTCTGTGTCCCCCCCCCCATCTGGGAGGGGACACAGGTGACCCCCCCGGGCCCCCTCAGCCTTGCCGCGGCCTCGCCGGCGGGGAAGGACCCAAGGCCGGGCTGGGACACGGGGTGCTCTGTATGCAAATGAGAGCATAATTAGCCGGGGCTTGTGCTGGCGGGCTACGCCCCCTATTTGCATATTCATGATCCCGCCCTGGCACCGCCGAGCTCACCAGGCGGTCACCATGGCAACCGGAGGGGGCGGGGATTACCGCCTCATTAGCATAGTCATGACCCGCCCACATTGCGGGGCAGGGGGGGAACAGACGAGGTGGCAGAGGCTCGTACGGGGCTGGGACCCTCCCCCGGAAATGAAACCCCCTGTCTCGGGAAAAGACCCCCCCCCCCAAAAGACAGAGGGGACCCCCCAGTCAGAGCCCAGTCTCCCCCCACCATTCACACTCGTGTTTCTGCCCCGGGGGGGGCCACAGGTTTTTAATGTAAAAACTCGTGTTAAACACTGCGGGGGGGCCCGAGGGGGGCGGCTGGTGGGGAGGGGGGGGCGGCGTTTTGGGGGGGAGATGGGGAGGAGCTGAGGCATTGGGGGGAGGGGGGGACGGGGCTGGGAGGGAAATGGGGGGGGCTAGGGGAGCCCCCCCAGGGTTATCCAGACCAGCCAGATAGGAACCCCCGGGTCGAGTTCAGAGGGGCAGAGGCCACGGGGGGGACACACGGGGGGTCCCCAGGCATCCGGGAGTGCCCCCTCTTTTGCCCTCCCCTCCCCACGTGGGGGTTTTTGGGGAGGGGGAGCTGCGGGTCTCGTGTCATCTGTGCAGAGATGTCGGGGGTGTGTGCGGGGCCCCCCCGGCCCGGCCGAAGGCACCGCGGGGGGGGCGGGCCGGGCACACAAATGTTGGGGCGCACACACAAGTCCCAGGTGCGCATCTCGGGGGGGTGGAGGGGGGGGGGGGGGGGGGGGGGGAAGGGGACACGCGTGGAGTGGGGACACACGCGAGTCCCGGGCGAGTGTCCGGCTTTTGGGGACGGTGGGGGGACCACAGGTATCCGGACACACCAGGTGCGATTCGGGGCTCACGTGAGTCCCCGTAGGGGGGCGGTCCCTGTCGCGATCCCCACGCATGTCGCGCTGCCCGCACATGTCGGGGGTCCCCACGCGGGTTTTTCGGGGGGAAAGGTTTGCATACAGGTACCCCCAGGGCGGGGGGAGGGAGGGGACACCTGGGGGGTTCCCAGTGGCACCTAGTGGCACCCACGGGGGAGCCCAAATGGGTCCGGGGGGGGGCACCCGGGCGAACTTTGGCGCTCCCAGGACGCGCCCCCCTTCCCCCAAGAGACGGCGGAACCACCCGGAGGAGCCGCCGAGGGGGGGTCCGGGGGGGTCCCGGGGAGGGTCCGGGGGATCCCACCGCCGTCGTCCCCCCCCCATCCCCCCGGAGGATCCCCCCCGAGACGGGGCCGGGGAATTCCCACCGTGCCCCCCACCCCTCACACCGTGCTCTCCAGCATCCAGTGGGTGCTGCCGAACGAGGGGCGCAGGGGGGGTCCCAGGGGGGTCCCCTCGGGCGCGTCCAGCCGCGGGAGGGACCCGTGGCGCCGGGGCCGCGCCCGCCGGGGGTAGCTGTGGCTGGGGAACAACCCCCGCGCCCCCCCCGCCGCGGGACCCCCGCCCGCGGGCGGGGGCAGCGGCGGCAGCGGGGGCAGCTCGGGGGTCTCGGCGGGCCGGGGGCCGCCGTTTGTCTGGGAGCAGACGCTGGTGAGCGCGGGCGGGGGACGCCGCGCCCCCGCCGCCTTCCAGCGCGCCGTGAGGATGAGGATGAAAACGAGCACGGAGGCGGCGATGGCGGCGCCGATGACGATGATGACGGTGCCCCCCAAGAAGTGGGGCCTGGGGGGCGCGGCGCAGCCCGGGGGAGCGGCGGCCGTGGCGAAGGAGACGCAGCCGAGCGGGCGGGGGGCGGCGGGGGGGTCCCCGACCACGCGCAGCGTGGACACGCAGAGCTCGTACAGACGCCCGGGAGCCAAATCCCGCAGCACGAAGGTGCGGCTGGAGGGGGGCAACAACCTGGGGGGGGGGCGAGGGGGAGTCGGGGGAGGGGCGAGACCCCGGCACCCCTCTTTCGCTCCCCCCCCCGGAAGTCGAAAACCTGCCCAGGACCCCTCAAAGACGCGCCAGAGAATGCCAGGATTGCCCAAACACTTCCTCAGTCCCCCCCCAAACACCTCAAAGACTCCCCAGGACCCCCCCTGAGCACCCCTAGGACCTCCCCAGGGACGCCCCTGAAACCCCCCAGACATCCAGAATTCCCTTCATGTTACCCACATCCCCTCTGAGCTACCCCAGGCCCCCCAGTACCCACCTGAATATCCTCCTCCCACAACCCTCCAGGACACACAAACCCTTCCCAGACCCTCTCCCCCCGAAGCTCCCCAGACCACCTGGAGCCCCACAAGTCTCCCCGAGACCCGCTGGAACCTCCCTGGACCCTTCCCAGGCCCACCTCAGCCCCCCCCCCAGGGACATCCCGAGGCCCCCACCTGTAGACGAAGGCGTCGTCGGCCGAGCTGTTGTACTGGATCTGCACCATGCGCACGCCGGGCACGTGGCGCTGCGGCAGCCACCGGATGCGCGCCGAGGACCCCGTCACCTCCGCCGCCACCACCCGCCGCTCCCCGGGCCCCCCCCAGGTGTCATTGCCACCCGCCTGGGCCATATCCGAGGGGCCAGGCCCCGCCTCAGCGGCCGCGGCGTCCCCGTCCCCGTCCCGTCCCCGCGGCACCGGCAGCGGCACCACCACGACGTCGACGCGCGCGGCCGCCTCGCCCGCGGCGTTGGCGGCCACGCAGGTGAAGCCGCCGTGGTCCCTCAGCGTGGCCACGCGGAGCTCCAGGGAGCCGTCGGCGCCCACCGAGCGCCGGGAGCCGTTCTGCACCACGCGCCCGTCGGGGCCCAGCCAGTGCAGCGCGGGCGGGGGGTCCCCGACGGCGGCGCAGCCCAGGCGCAGCGGCTGCCCCTCGGTGACGGCGGGCGGGTGCGCGGCCGCGGCGGTGACGGCAGGGGCCCGGCACGTCAGCTCCTCCTCGGGCACGGCGCCCAGCAGCCTCCCGGCCAGCGGCGCCGGCGTGGCGCAGGTCTCCAGGCGGCCCGGCTGAGCCACGCGGCGCAGCCACAGCAATTCGCAGTTGCAGTGCAGAGGGTTCCCCCCGGCCGCCAGCGCCGGCCCCGGGGGCCCCGGCACCGGCGGCAGCGCCCGCAGCCGGTTGGCCGTGAGATCGAGCCTGGCCAGGCGCGGCAGCCGCGCCACGGCGCCGGCCGGCACCCGCTCCAGCAGGTTGTGGTCCAGCGTCAGCGTGGCCAGGCTGCCCATGGCGGCCACGGCGTCCCAGGGCAGCGCCGGCAGGTTGTTGTGCGACAGGTCCAGGTCCTCCACGGTGGCGGCGAAGGCGGCGAAGGCGGCGGCGTCGATGGCGGCCAGCTGGTTGTTGGCCAGGATGAGGTGGCGCAGGCTGGCCAGCCCGCGCAGCTGCGGCCCGCTCAGCGCCGGCAGCCGGTTGCCGTCCAGGTGTAGCGCTCGCAGGGCGCGCAGGTCGGCGAAGGCGCCGGGGGCGAGGCGGCGCAGCCCGTTCCGCGACAGCGTCAGGTGCACCAGGCTGCTCATGTTGGCGAAGTCGGCGCGGCCCACGGCGCCGATGAAGTTGTCGGCCAGGCGCAGCTCCACGGCGCCGCGGTCCAGGCTGGGCGGCACCGCCAGCAGCCCCGTGCGGGCGCACAGCAGCGTCGGGCTGGGCGCGGCCGCGGGGCACAGGCAGCGCGGGGGACACCGCGGGGACGGCGGCGACACCGGGACCCCCGCCCCGGACACGGCCCCCAGCACCACCAGCGGCACCAGCAGCTTCGCCATCCCCACGGCCGCGCCTGTTGGGGAACCGCGGGGTCACGGGGGGTGGCGGAGCCCCCAGCACATCCCAGCAGATCCCACTGGAAGCCGCCGGATCCCATAGAGTGCTGTCAGGCCCAGGCGGATCCCATCCCATCACCCGGGATCCCACTGGACGCTGTGAGATCCCATGGACCCATCTTGCGAGCGTCCCCGGTGCCTTTTGGGGTCTCTGTCACCGGCAGATCCCGCTTGATGCCCGTGAGACCCCGGGGGGTACCAGGACACCCCACGCGATCCCGGGATTCCGTCTGTCTGTGATCCTCTTGGGTCACACCAGATCCCACCAGATCCCAGTGGTCCCAGTGACCCCAGTGAGATCCCAGCGATCCCAGTGAGATCCAAGTGAGGTCCCAGTGATCCCAGTTGTCCCAGTGATCCCATTACCTCCTCTCAGGGCTCCATGTTGGTCCTGTCTGGGCGTCGCCGCGGGGCCTGTGGGGACAGGGGACAGGCCAGTATGGACCAGTACAGACCAGTACAGACCACATATCCATCAGTACGGACCATTCTAGGCCCATATCCACCAGTACGAACCAGTATGGACCAGTACAGATTCACACCCATCAACACGGACTGGTACAGACCATTATAGACGAGTCCAGCAGCACACAGCCCAGTACAGCCCCACACACCCCAGTATGGCCAAATCCAGCCCAGTCCGGCCCAGTTCGGCCTAGTCCAGCCCAGTATCCCCTGCACACACCCACAGTATCCATTCCAGGTTAACACGGCCCAGCACGGCCCAGCACGGCCCAGCACGGCCCAGCACGGCCCAGCACGGCCCAGTATGGCCCAGTAGGAGCAGTACAGAAGAGCACAACCCAGTCCAGACCACTACAGCACCACCCAGTAAAGATCAGTACATCCCATTATGGCCCTTCACAGCCCAGGATGGCCCAGTACATCCCAGCACATCTCAGCATGGCCCAGTGCACCCCAGTGCATCCCAGTACATCCCAACATGGCCCAGTACATCCCAGTACCTCCTAACACATCCCAGCACATCCCAGCATGGCCCAGTACATCCCAGTACCTCCTAACACATCCCAGTGCATCCCAGCATGGCCCAGTACATCCCAGTACCTCCTAACACATCCCAGCACATCCCAGCATGGCCCAGCACATCCCAGTACCTCCTAACACATCCCAGTACCTCCTAACACATCCCAGCAGGGCCCAGTACATCCCAGTACATCCCAGCATGGCCCAGTACATCCCAGCACATTCCAGCATGCAGCACGGCCCAGTGCATTCCGGCACGGCCCTTCACAGCCCAGTATGGCCCAGTGCATCCCAGTACACATCTCAGTGCATCCCAGTACATCCCAGCATGGCCCAGCACAACCCACTACAGACTGATAAAGACACAGCACAGCCCAGCAGGGTCCAGTATATCCCAGTGCATCCCAGCACATCCCAGTGCATCCCAGCGCATCCCAGCACATCCCAGTGCATCCCAGCGCATCCCAGTGCATCCCAGCATGGCCCAGTGCATCCCAACACATGCCAATACCTCCCAGTACATCCCAGCACATCCCAGCATGGTCCAGTACATCCCAGTATCTCCCAGTACATCCCAGTACCTCCCAGCCCCCCCTCCCCCGCCGGTACCTTGGGGGGCTCAGCCCACGGACGCTCCCATCGCTGCTCCGGGGGGGGAGGAGGGGTCGGGCCTCGCCCTACCGGGGGGGCATCGGGGGGGCGCACTGGGAATGGGAGTGGGGGGGGACCGGGCCCGGCGGCACCGGGGATGGGGAGAGGCGGGGGGGACACCGGGATGCGGGGATGGGAACCGGGATTGAGGGAGAGGAATGCGGGGATGGATCCGGGATGGATCCGGGATGGATCCGGGATGGATCTGGGATGGATCTGGGGATGGATCCGGGATGCGGGGATGGATCCGGGGATGGATCCGGGATGGATCTGGGGATGGATCCGGGATGGATCTGGGGATGGATCCGGGATGCGGGGATGGATCCGGGGATGGATCCGGGATGGATCTGGGGATGGATCCGGGATGGATCCGGGATGGATCTGGGGATGGATCCGGGATGCGGGAGGGCCCCGGGAGCGGCCGCCGGGCTGGGGGTGCCGGGGGTCCCGGAGCAGCCCCGGACCCGCCGCCCGGAGAGGCCCCGGTGAGGCCCCGGTGAGGCCCCGGTGAGGCCGCGGCCGCCGCTCGGAGCCGCAGAACCGGCGGGGCGGGGCCGGGCGGGGCCGGGGCGGGGCCGCGGGCTCCGCACAAGCCCCGCCTCTCCCTCGCCTCATTGGTTATTCGGTGCGTCTATCAGCGCTTCCTGAGGAAGGCGCGCTGGGCGGGGCCGCGCGGGGAGCGCGGACACACGGATGGACACACGGACACACGGATGGACACACGGACACACGGATGGACACACGGATGGACACACGGACACAGGGATGGACACACGGACACGGGGATGGACACACGGACACGGGGATGGACACACGGATGGACACACGGACACAGGGATGGACACAAGGACACAGGGATGGACACACGGACACACGGATGGACACAGGGATGGACACAAGGACACAGGGATGGACACACGGACACACGGATGGACACACGGACACAGGGATGGACACACGGACACACGGATGGACACACGGATGGACACACGGACACAGGGATGGACACACGGATGGACATACGGATGGACACACGGATGGACACACGGACACATGGACGCAGTGATGGACACACGGATGGACACACGGACACAGGGATGGACACACGGATGGACACAAGGACACTAATGAACACAGGGACACACGGATGGACACACGGACACACGGACAGAGCCACAGACACCCCCCCCAGTCCATCCGGCACCCCCACGTGTCCCCCAGCTCTCCCCCAGCCCTTTTCCCGTCCCTCCTGCCCCTGGCCCCCGGGCCCGACACACGGACACACGGACACACGGACAGACAGACACGCGGACATATGGGCACACGGACAGATGGACACACAGACACATGGACATAGAGACACACGGACACCAGGGTGCACTGGACATGCACTGAAAGCACAATCTGGGACATGGGGACATGGGGCCGGGGACACTGGGATGCACTGGGGACACTGGGGGACATTGGGGGACCCTAGGGGACATTTGGGGACATTTGGGGACCCTAGGGGACATTGGGGGACACTGGGGGACATTTGGGGATATTTGGGGACCCTAGGGGACCCTAGGGGACATTGGGGGACACTGGGGGACATTGGCGGCTCCTTGGGGCTCCTAGGCCCCGCCCCCAGGCCCCGCCCCCGCCGCGGCCAGCGCGAAGCCGTGGGGGCGTGGCCAGGGGAAGGGCGTGGCCCCTTTCAATGACGGTTGCCCGGAGGGGGCGTGTCCAGCACCGCGTACCCGAGGCACCGCGCCCGCGCGCCCGCGCGAGGCCTCCCATTGGTCGCCGCGCTCGGCGGGCGTGGCCTCCAGGGGGCCCCGGCGCCACTCCACCCTCCCATTGGCCGATTGGCGGCGGCGCCGTGACGTAGTGACGCAGCGTGCGTGTCGTGCGCGTTGACGTTGCGCGGCGGCGGCGGCGGCCGCGGTGGTGGTGGTGGTTGTGGTGGTGAGTGAGGGGCGGCCGCGACCCCCAGGATCCTGGGCCCGCGCGGATCCTCCCCGACACCCCCGTGACGGGACCCCCGCGCCCTCCGGGCCCCTCCCGCGCTCCCTGGGCCTTCTCCGGCCCTTCCTCGGCCCGGCCCCAGCGCCTGGAACCGGCCCCGGCCCTGCCGGGCCTGCGCCCCCCTCCTCCCCCGGCCCGTGCTGAGGGGAGAAAGGCTTGGGGCGGGGCGGGGGGAGGGAGAAAGGGGCGTCCTGAGCGGGGCGGGGGAGCCCTGTCCCAGTGGGGGGACACTGGGGGTCCTTGCGCCCCTGTGGGATCCCTGTGGTTGCGGGGCGGCCTGGTCCGTCCTGGGAGCGTCCCTGGTCGCTTTTTGGGGTCCCTGTTACCATGAGGGGTCCTTGTCCGTTTTGTGGGTGGTCCCTGGTACCTTCTGGGGGGTCACTTCTCCCCTGGCGGGGGCGGGTCCCTCTCCCTGAGGGAGGATCCCTGAGGGAGGATTCTTGATCCTCAAAGGGGTGAGGCCTTTTTGGGGGTCCCTGTCACCCCGGGGAGGGTGGTCTCTGTCCCGCGTGGTTCCCCCTATTCCTGGGGGGTATCTCCCCGTTTGGGGGTCCCCGCCGCCCCCTGACCCCTTCTCCCCTCTCTCCACAGGACCCTCTGGACCCTCCCCCGCGCTCCCAGCCCGGGGGGGCCCCTCGGCACCCCCCGCCCGCACCCCCCATGCGCTGCCCGGCCCGGGGGGGCCCCCCCGCCACGTGAGGGGGGGGCAGGGCCGCCTCCCCTTTCCCCCCCGGCCCCGCTGCCCCCAGCCCAGCCATGATGTTCCGGGACCAGGTGGGGATCGTGGCCGGCTGGTTCCGGGGCTGGAGCGAGTGCGAGCAGACGGTGGCACTGCTGGCACTGCTCAAGCGCGTCACCCGCACCCAGGCCCGCTTCCTGCAGCTCTGCCTCGAGCACTCGCTGGCCGACTGCCCTGACATCCACCTGCTCGAGGCCGAGGCCAACAGCGCCGGTGAGGGGGCTCCGGGGCGTGGAGAGGGCTGGGAGGGTCTGCAGGGCTGTCATGGGTGGGTCTAGGCACCCTCGTGGGATGTGGGGGGACTGTCTGGACGGGCGACAGGGGTGACGGGGGTCCTCGAGGGGTCTGGCGGATGTTACGGGGGTCCCTGGAGGTCCTTGTGGGGTCTCAGGGGTCCCCAGCTGCGTGTGCTGTGTGTCCCTATCCGTGCTGACCGTGCGTGTCGCTGTCCCCAGCCGCCATCTCTCAGTGGCCGCAGGAGCCGGCCGAGGCGGCGGTGGCCCTGCTGCTGGCCCACCTGCCGCTGCTGCAGCCGGGCAATGCGGCGGCCAAGGCCGAGTACATGAAGCGGCTGCAGAAGGTGCTGGCGGACGCCATCGAGAGCAATCGCTGCGTGGAGGAGTCGCGGCAGCTGCTGTCCTACGCCCTCATCCACCCGGCCACCACGGCCGACGACCGCAGCGCGCTGGCCCTGTGGCTCGGACACCTGGAGGAGCGCCTGGCCCCGCCCGGCCCCGCCCCGCCGGGACCCCCCCAGCGCCGGCCCCCGGCCCACGAGTGGCCCCCCGAGCCCCCCGAGCCCGGGGGCGGCGGCGGGGGGAGCGGCACGGCGGGGGGAGGCGGGGGGGCGTGGGCAGAGCAGCACCCCCCGGGCACGGCCCCCCGGGAGAATGGACACCCCCCGTTCCAGCCCCCCGGAGGTACCGGGGAAAATGGGGGGGGAAATGGGGGAGAAACTGGGAGAAGGTGGTGGGGGAGGAAAAGGGGTGGAAACGGGAGGAGAAAGGTGAGAAAAGGGGGGAAGGGTTGAATAGGGGGGACGGAGAGGGGTGTGTGAGGGTCAGATGAGGGGGAAGGGATTGGCGGGGGAGAATGGAGGGGCCAGAAGGACCCTGGAGGTAAAGGAGGGGGTTATGGGGTGTCCCACCAACTGGGCAGGGACGTGGGGGCTTTGGGAGGGGTCCCAGGGCCTGGGGAGGGATCTCTGGTGCCCCCCCCTGACCCTGTCCCCCCTGTCCCCCCCCAGCCCTGCCGTGCCAGCTGCACCCCAGCCCCCTGAAGCGCTCGCTGGCGCTGGTGCCTGGCAGCCCCCAGCCCGGCCCGGGCGGTGACTGGGCAGGGTCGGGGGGGCCCGAGGACCCCCCCGCGGGCCCCCCCCGCGGCCCCGCCCCGCCGTTCGGGGACCACGCGCCGCTGTCCCCCCAGAGCAGCGTGGCCTCGTCGGGCAGCGAGCACACCGAGGAGCCCGGCGGGCGCAACTCCTTCCAGGAGGACGGCAGCGGCATGAAGGGTGGGCGGGGGGCTCCGGGGGAGTCCAGGGGGGCTGCGGGGGCGTGGTGAGGGCGGCTGTCACCTCACGGCCCCCCCCGTGCCCCCCCCAGATGTCCCCTCGTGGCTGAAGAGCCTGCGACTGCACAAGTACGCGGCGCTGTTCGCGCAGATGAGCTACGAGGAGATGATGACGCTGACTGAGCATCACCTGGAGTCACAGGTGAGCCCTGCTCCGGGAGGGGACTGGGGACACCGGGAAGGGACTGGGGGGACACTGGGAGAGGCACTGGGAGGGGACTGGAAGGATGGTGGGAGAACATACTGGGGTCCCCCAAAGGTACAGGAGTGGCTGGAGCATCCTGTGGGTACTGGGAGAGGGGACTGGGGGGCACTGGGCTGGTGGGGGGGTTGCCCGGTGTCGCCAAGGCTTCTGGAGTGGGGGTCCACGATGTCCCCAGCGTCACCAGGGCTGGTGGGGATGCATTCTCAGCGTCTGCGGTCTTCCCAGGGGGTGTCCCCAATGTTCCCTCTAGGGGTGTGACACCCCCAGAGATGTGCGACACCCCCCAGAGATGTGTGACACCCCTGTCCCCTCCCCAGAACGTCACCAAGGGTGCCCGGCACAAGATTGCCCTGAGCATCCAAAAGCTGCGGGAACGGCAGAGCGTCCTCAGGGCACTGGAGAAGGTCACTGGGGGCACTGGGAGGGACTGGGAGGGCACTGGGCTGGTGTAGGAGGTCCCCAGTGTCCCAAGGGCTCCTGGAGAGAGTCCCTGATGTCCCAAGGGATGGTTCAGGAGCTCCCCGGGACTGGAGGCGGGGGGAATGGCTCTCGATGTCCCCCGTCTTCCCGGGGGTGTCCCCGAGCCTGCTGGGGAGGGGGTGGGGGACGGGGACATGTCCCTGATGTCCCCTCTCCGTGTGTCCCCCCC